ATCTGTTCTCTCATTGTTGGCAGGATAAGTGGGAAAGTTATGCAAGCACAAATGAGCCTTTTGAATTGTTTAAACACATGAGCCTCATGACACTGGACAGCATTATGAAGTGTGCCTTCAGCTGCTACAGCAACTGTCAGACAGAGCGGTGAGCCCAGATGAATCTTTTTAAAGAGTCATTTACAGTGTCAGTTTTATGTTGAGTCTTTGGTTGTTGTAAATCTGCATTTAATGTTTGCCTCCTTTGTCATTTCAGTGGAACAAATGCATACATCAAAGCAGTTTATGACCTCAGTTTTCTAATTGACCTTCGGCTCAGAATGTTTCCGTACCACAGTGACCTCATTTTCCACCTTAGCCCACATGGTTTCAGATACAGAAAAGCACGTCAGGTGACCCTCAGTCATACAGGTAAGCTTTGCTTTGATTCATCTGAACCGTTGCCAAAAATCAGTGAGCCTCACATTATAGTGTCAGATCTACAAATGCTTACATTTTATATTCTTTTCTAAAGAGGAAGTTATAAGAAAGAGGCGAGAAGCACTAAAGGAAGAGAAGGAGCTTGGACAAATACAGGCAAAGAGATATTTGGACTTTCTGGACATCCTTCTCTTTGCAAGAGTATGTTATGTGTCATCAGTTTCAGCCTCTTACTTCAACACATTTCCCATTGTAGGATTTGCTTAATATATAGGCAAGTCACAAACTGGGGTTTTCCTGCATAAAGGTCATACAGAAAATAAGGCAAGTGCCAACTTGAGATCGTGTCAGATATCTGAAGTACTGGCCTAAAGCTGAAATAGCATATGCATGCAGCAAATAAGCAAAGATGCATGCTGTTGCCAAGCTGCATGTTAATGTCCTCTGACACAGAGACGATGATCAGCCTTTTCATTCTCGTGAGCAGCAACCTGAATACAAAATCTCTTTTGTGTAGAGAATGATCAACACTGGTTAGTGTTTTGCCCAGTTTCTTTCCCAAAAACTTCTCTAAACGGCAGCTTGTAGGGGCTGTTCAGCTAGCATGTTTATTCTCTTAGTAGACTTAGCTTTCATGACATGGGTTCAGTTTAAAACATATTAAAACACATAAAATGATCCAATTTTAATTTATTTTTTATTTTCGTGCATTTTAACTGAAAATCACACAAATTGAAAAATCTTATTTATATCACTTAAATACATAATTGTGTAATATTTGTATAATATTAATATAATCAACCGATAATGAAAGAATAGAAAGAATCCTTCCTTTATGAGTATATCATAGCAAATTGTTGTCCTTGGCAGGAAAAATTAAAATCAATAATTAACTGCATGGCAGGTGTTTGCTTAAAAAACAAACAATTAGTGCTTTATATGGCTTAAGAAGAACAGTGGACCTTGATACTTGGCTGGTGAATAAATCCCCAATTTTATAAAGGTATCTGTATAAGGATGAATGTTATCCAGCTAAAGCTGAGTTGAAGTCGGGTGATGCAGTAATATAATGAGCCTGAGCAGCAAAAGTAACAAAGCACTTTTATTGAGAAGCCCAGTTAGAGTATAGTGTAGTCCATTCTGTCTTTTATCAACTGTAAATATCCTTTATTTCAACGCCAGGATGAGAACCAGCAGGGTCTGTCAGATGAAGATATGCGGGCAGAAGTGGACAC